TTGGGCGAGGAGAGACGCAGGCAGAGTGCTCCTGAACCCAATATTTATGTATGGGATTCCAGCGCCGGACCACATCTTCATTGTAAGAAACCTTAAGTTTCTTACTGGGTAACCTTATGTTGCTTTACTGGGGTGAAAGGAATTCAGGGAGGCCAAACAGAAAACAACCAGCATGGAGCTGCCACACAGTCGGCACTCAACTAAGGCTTGTTACTGACTGTTGCTTGCTCACGCAGCCATCAGCCAATTGTCCAGTAGCCTATCAGTACTTATCCAGTACCTTAAAATGATCCTGGGCCACATTTTCTCAACCTAGAGAGACCAGTGTTAGTCCTTCCATTTCACTGATGAGGAAACTAAAGGACAGGTAAGTTAGTTACACACTCGGGGCTGCACAGTTAGTGGGTATGATATCGACGATGGAGTCAGACTTCGTTGACTTCCCATAGACATAGTGGCCTCAGCACTACTCCTTTTCTTGGGATGAAAATGTAATTGGGAGGTTTAGGGGAGAAGAAGGGACAGGCAAGTGTCACCATGTTGTGGTGGCTTGTAATGGAATGGTAAACCAAGTTCCTGCCTACCAGAACTCTGGCCCCAGGGCCACACATTTTATCTGTGACAAGGGCCACCAACCAGCAGGTATCTGGCTGACCTCTCAGAATGCCTGGACATCTTTCGAGCTTTTCCACTAGGATGAGGAAATGGTAGCTGGAGTAACTGAACTACCAGTTTTTTGGGATTGACCACTGTGGGAAAACAGACATGTCAAATCCACACCCCCTAAAGGTGCTCCTTTAGACATTTACCATCCACACACTTGCTGTCTGCATCAGGGGGAGGCCTTCGAGAGTAGCTGGATAGGGTCTGCTCTGACCTCTGGGGTTTGAGGAAAGGGCTCCAGAGTTCCTGAGCTGGGTTGAAGGCCTACCTCTCCTCCCCAACCCCTGAGCTACTCCTGGAGTCTAGCCAGTTAAGGCTTCCCTGACTTAGGAAGGAACTTCCCCCAGCTGCTCTGCCTCTAGGAACCTCAGGAGGCCAAGACAGGCAAAGGGCATTTCCTGAGCCCTGCTCTATTATGATGGATGCTCATGTTCAGTATTCAGTTATTAACTCTTCCCAACAGCCCCAGAAAACTGATATGTGTAGATCAAATTGTATACACAAGGAAATTTTCTCAGAGAAATGATGATGTCATGTGCCCAATATCTCAGAGAATCTCTTGGCTTTAGGAATAAGCCTGGAGGGCCTATGGCCCTGCCTGGAGAGGAGCAGAGGCCTGGGTCTCAGAAAGGAGGCTCACGCAGGCCCCCCTCCCTCCTCCTATTTTCCCTTTGACATTGGAAACTGTCAGACCTTTGGAAGGTCCAGGGACCTTGGGAACAGGGGCTAGGGTGAGACATCTGACTTTGGATCCCAGAAGATTGGCCTCTTTCTGGCCCCAGTATAGCAGCACCTGGTTGGGGGACAGGGACAAGACTGAAACTTAGCCTTCCTTGAACAAGCATGATGACCACCGAGCTTTGGTTACAGTCACTGAGGGTATGGTGTGCAGGTGGGCTAGGTCCATACTTTCCAGATGGGGAAACTGAGGCCCAGAGAGGGAAGGACTTGCAAAAATCAGTTGCCGGGCAGTGGTGGTGCATGCCTTTAATCCTAGCACTCAGGAGGCAGACAGGTGTATCTCTGTGAGTTTGAGGCCTGTCTGGTCTACAGAGCGAGTTCCAGAACAGGCTCCAAAAGCTACAGAGAAACCTTATCTCAAAATAAAAAAATCAGTTAGCATAGGGCAGAGCCATACCTAGAATATCCCATGTGAGCCTACCGATCATCTCTTTGCCATCATCTCCCTGTCACCAGCCTTGGGTAGGAAAAGAGAAAACCACTAAGATTTTCTGGCTACTCAGTCAGTCATTCTACCCCCTGAAGCCCCAACTTTGCAATCATGCAATAACCAAGGGTTCAGTAACCAGACATGCTTGACTGTTCCTTGTCCCCAACCAGAGGGGCTTGGATGCTATCACTCCTTAAATGCTATTCCTCTTCCTCTTCCCTCCCTTCCCCTCCCCTTCCTCTCCTTCTCCGGCACATCTCCTGGTCTCACCACAAGCCAGAAGTGAAATGGAGATGTGTGTTGATTTAAGGAGACTGTGAGATGAAAATGTACTTCCTTTATTATATAGGGAGATATTTTTAAATGCATATAAATAAACATTTTTAATTCGCTTAAACGTTCGGATTTTGCCACCGTAGAGCATGTGTTTTGCTACACGAGGAGTGGTGACTGTGAAAAACCAGGCTGCAGACTGCCAGTCCATCTGCTGCAGTGAGAAGGATGCCCTTCTAGAATGGGCCTGCAGGCTGGGATTGCCCTCCAGGATCTCTCTGGTGGGCTTCCAGTCTGTGTCTCCCCAACCCAGGGCCAGGCTGTTTTTCTCAGCCATTGAAGACCTCCTTCAAGCTTCTGCCGTCATGCGTGCACAACCCTTCAGCTGCTGGAGCCCACCTCTTCCAAGGCACTGAGTTTCCAACTTGGAGTCTCTCTCTAGAGCATTCCTGGGGCCTGATAGCTCATACATAGTTCTGGTAATTGATAGTGGCTTAGTTCTTCCACAGGACAAGGATTCTCAGCATGGAACTAGGGTTTTATGGATCCAAGGAAACTATATACAAAACAGTGCTGCCGTGTTCTGGTCTCATTTGCTGGTGCTCTTGACCAAATTTTGTGCCTTAAAGGACCAGCCCAATCCAGGTCCACTGTTGGATACAAATCCCCAGCAGCAGCTCGGGCCTGCCACCCAGCAGAGGGACATGTACAGCTTCCCTGTACAAAACAGAACCTGCTGTCCCTAGAGGATAGCTGGGACACCTTCATCTCTGGGGTGCTTGCAGGGTCTGAGGCAACCTGAGGAGGTCTCTTTCCTTAGTCACTGTTGCACCTCAACCTTTCCTGGAACTTTTTTTTTTTCTGGGCAGTGTGTCAGTTAGTCCAGGCTGGCCTTGAACTTACTATGTAGCCAAGGATGAGCTTGAATTTTTGATCTTCCTGCCACCATGCGAGTGCTGGGGTTATAGGCATGTGCCACCAGAGTTTCACAGTCCTGGAGGTTGAACGGAGGGCTTCGTGCATCTCTACCACCTAAGCTATATCCCCAGCCTTCCAGTGGAATGCTTTTGTAGCATGTTTATAAACATAGACAGGTAACGTCCCCTTCGTCATGGAGTTTAAATGCCAATGGACATGTCAATACCCAACCTCCTGACATCCCATGTGAGTGACTGCTGCAGCCCCACTGCCTGTTGGGCAAAGAGCTTCTAGAGCCAGGGCCTCATCTCCTCATGCCACCAACTGACTTCAGGGCTACAGTGGTTGGGACTGCAGTCAGACATGCAAGCATCTCAAGTAAGATACAAAGCATGGGCCTGTACTACTCAGTCCTAAGAATAGCCACTATAGCTCCCTTTGACAGACCAGGAGGCCCAGAGAGGCTAAGTACCTTAGATTCCAAGCCTCATAACATGGAGGTTGTCACCTTGGAACCCAGTGTGTTTCACTTCATTGTCACACTTAACTCCAAAATCTGATG